TTTCTGTTGTTTTATCTTCCTGTTGTTTCTTCCCTGTGTTTCTATTTGCCATTTTATTTGCATGGGTTTCCCTGGCAGTTTCTCAGTTTCTTCTAAATATCTCTGTTCCACACTTTTGTTTTGTGGTTACCATAAAGTTCTATCAGTCTTTTCATAGCTTCAGTAGTCTTGTATTGACTCATTGTCATTTGACTAATCAAATATTGATCTTTTTTTCCTCACCATTATTGTTTTATTCACATTGGTGTTTCTAACTCTATTATACTATTTATTACTTTGTTCAAGATCTTTGTTCTTTTGCTTTTATTTTCATGTAAAAGAGCTCCACTACATTTCTGGTAGTTTAGTTCTGGTAGTAGCAAACTCCATTAACCTTTTTTTTTTTAAGATTTCTTTATCTATGCATACAGAACTGGGGTACAGGCCAGAGTTGTGGGGGGGGAGGTTTGAGAGAATTCACCAGAGACAGAGTGGGGAGCAGAACAGGCAGAATGACAAAAGTACACAGCTGAGGGGAGCAGCAGGCAGGCCAGGAGAGGTCTGCTGCGCCATGTGGTCACCTCTGGGGCTGGGGGTAGAACTGCAGTGCTGGCTTTAACCCCTCAAGGCACCAGGGAGGGTCCCCATTAACTTTTGTTTACCAAGGAAAGACTTTAATTAATTTTCTGTCCTATTTGGCAGATTGTTTTTCAGGGTATACTTGACTGGTGGATTTTCTCTTTCATAATTGGGAATAATCATTTCACTCTTTGCTAACCTGAAGTTTCTTTTGAGAAATCTGATGATATCCTGATTGGAGTGCCTTTTTTTTTTTTACATATTTTCCTCCTGGTCTTTGTCTTAGTGTATGTCTTTTTGCATTTAGAATTTTGGGTATTATTTTTATTTTTTACTTTTATATCTAATTCTTTTCTTAGGTCTGGAAAGTTTCAGTTATTTCTTTGAAATAATAAGCGCTCAGTTCTTTTCACTGTCTCCTCTTTTCCTTTTGGAATCTGATAATTCTGGCAGCTTTTCATTTTTCCTAATTTTCAATTCTCCTCTTTTCATGGGGAGAGATGAAATATTGAAATATTATCTTCAATTTCACTAATTATCTCTGCTCAAAGATTGAGTGTACTTGTCGCATTCCATAGTTTTCATGTTATTGAGCTTTTCAGTTGTAATATCTACCTGAAATTTTTATATAGCTTCAATCTCTTTCAAGAACTCCTGTCCCTGTATTTCCTTTTTTATTTCATTAATATTTCAGTCAGTGCTAGAGTACATTTGCTCAACCTCATTGTCTTCGTAAGTTATTTTAAATTCGCTGCCATTATACTTCCAATTTCTGTGTCATTAAGAATGCATTCTGAAGATTTGTCTTTCTCATTCATTCTGTCACAGGGTTTTACCTATTTTAGCATTTATTGTTATCCCAGTAGGTGGTGCTGTGATTCCTGTTTTGGGTTTCTACTTTTTTTCAGGATCTCAAGAATGTGTAGAGAGGGGTCAGTTGTGGGGAGTTCATTTAATAACCATCTTGGGAGTTGGAAGGTCAACTTGTGGCTAAAATTCTTAGCTGTATCTTCTCCCCTTCTGACTGTCATTGTTCTCTTAATTTTAGCACAAACTGTGTAGCTATGTTACTTTTCCAGGCCCAGCTGCAGAAGTCTGCAACTAGTGGTACTTGCTCCACATATAAACTTACCTGGATCTCCAAGGAGTAAGGGGAAGGGCCATCAGCCTCTTTTGTTTGCTTCTGCTGAAATTACTGTTTTCCAGTGTCCCCCAGCCATGGCAGATAGTGTAACTCTTCCAGCAGTGTAAGGAGTCCTAGTGACATGGTTCCCCAAAGCTTTGTAATTTCTTTTCTGTTTCATGCCACAGCTGGGCACCCCAATGGGCAAAGCTGTAGAGTAGGTTTTATATCTGGCAGCAGCTGGGCTTGGTGTGCTGGGAATAAACTTCTAAGGGGAGGGGAGGGGCCACACCTGACCAGCAAGCACATTAAACCACCTTTGCCGTACCCATTGATCTCCTCAGACAGGTTCTGGTGTTATAAATCTGTCTGTATCCTCCCTTTTCCAGTGATGGTTGGCTGTCCCGCGCTATCACCTTTCTAGACCGACTTTTAATCTGGCTCGGGATTCGCAGGGACTAGGTTTCCAGAGAAGGTCTCTCCAAGACAGCTCAGCGCTCACGATTGGAATTCTCTCAAGGTGCAATTTAAAAGACTTTCCTTAGGCCTATGTCTCAGACTTTAAGCAAAAATGGTTTTTGCCTGCTCCTTCCACTGGGTATTGCAATTTCAAACCAGGGTCAGAGCTGGGCCCTCGTGTGGGTGGCCTCTGGGGCATGGCACGGGGTTAAGGAAGCAGCTGAGCTGCCACCTCCAGTAGTGGTGCATCAGTAGATAGCATTTCACTTTCTTACTTTTGGGGCCCCTGTAACTGTGTAATGGAAGCCAAAGAGCTGTCTTTACAGAAAATTTCACATGTAATTTTTGAAGAGTACACAGACAGGGCTTCTTAGTTTCACTGGCTGTGTTCTTTCCAGTTCTCGGTGGGGTGGGGTGGGGTGGGGGTGGTCTTTCATACAGATACAATGAGGAGGGTGTCCCTGAAAGTGAGCTGTAAAGGTGGCTGTTCACCACCCATACTAGGACATCTGCTTCCCGCCCCCTGCTCCCGCCCTCCCCCCACTCCCCCAGCCTAAGCCTTGCCTTTGGGACTTCAAGACTCTTTAGAGAAAATCCCTGGGGCAGTGTCTTTGTACCCTGGTCATAGCACCTGGGTTGGGATGGAGACATTCCCCTCACTGGGTCACTGGCCACCACATCTTTCCTTTTATCCACTTTCCCTTATTGGTAAGGTCCCCAGTGTCCCTGTTCACTCTGTAGCTCACTTTCCCTTGTCACCAGAACTTACAGGTTCTGAGCATTGTGTATTGCTGAATATTCGACTTAACACTTAAATGAGATCCTTTGTTTTCTTCACTATTGCTCTAATGTACCACCAGCTGCAATGTATTAATGGGTAGAGAGCCCAGGTCACCAACATGGTGCCTTGCCTAAGTTGTTCTTCAGCGTGTGGTGCCTGTGGTTGAGCGGTATACCCCTCTGGCTGAGGTGACCCTGCTGCCAACCTCAACATCTGAGAACATTTGAATTTGAGAACTCTAAGCTCCTTGAGGGACTTAAGTACAAGTTGATACCACTCTGTTCTCACATAACAGGTATCTCCCAACTTTCAGATAGTTTTGTGCTCCTACAACTAGTCAACCCTCTAAAATTGGGTCACATTTTTACAAAGAAACTATGGTTCTCCATTCACCAGACTCAACCTGCTGTTCCACACCACAGGGCTACACTGCCCAGGGCACAGCTGTGATGTATTTGAGCACCTTTAAGGTTTGGTTGAGTCATGGAGAACTCTACAACCAAGGCGGCTTTCCTGGAGCAACAGCAGGTGGGCAGCCTGGGCCACACTGTGCTGAGAGACTGAGCTGCGAAATCCCATGAGACAAGAGCCACCAGCAAGGCACTGGTGGCCTTGAACCTAATTTTGTGACCTCCTAAGAGCTAGTACTGTTTCCTAAGGCCTCCTAATTCCATCATGCTTTCAGGGGCCTCAGGCTACAACTGTACCTAGGCACCACAGTGTTCCTGCAACTCCGCTCTTAGCCTGAGACTGGCTGAGCACAGCAGTACACTGAACATACCCATAAATGCTCCTTTTTGGGGGTATCATGTCCTCTCTTTTGTCTACTAGGAGCCTTGTCAAAATGACTAGTCATTTGTTTGGACATTTTGGAAGTGTATAGAATGAATACTAGACTTGGAACAGGATCTTGTTTGGGTCTCAAATACTAGTTAGGGAGGAAGCAAGATAGAGGTCTTTTTCTCCTGACTGAAATAGACAATTCTAAAGCAGCACACAGTGGCCATTCCAGAAACACTGATTTCCTCAAGTAACCCAGGTCCTGGAACAAGAGGATGGGGAGTAGGAGTGATCCCTGGAAGTGCAGTCTCCTTTCAGATGGGCATGGTCACATGGACAGACTTCTGAGGGAATGAATTCTTGATTTAGATGATCGGTACAAAGAAGTTTTGCATTTTTATTCACATTGTATTTTACAATAAATGTTTTTAAAAAGCCTGCTTTTCAAAAATACCAATTCATTTCACTCATAGCAGGAGTATAAAGGACCAGGGTAGAAAATAATAATAATGAACAACTGTATACACACACACACACTCACACACACATACATATATTTATATATGTATATTTATATATATATACCAGAGACATTTTATGGGGGAGGAACAGGGAATGGAATCAAAAACAGTGGGGGGAGGGAAGTGCACTGGACTATGGTGATGCACAAGGGTGATCTGGTGATAGGAAGCCCAACGAGATTACAACTGAGATGGAAAAAGGCACAAAATGATGTAAAAATAAAAATATTTTTTAAAAAAAGGAAAAAAACCTGCCACCTGTCTTTCTCCTTCCCCATTCTCTTTACCACTTATGTAAAGATGCCCTGGGACAGAGAGCCAGGTAAAGCCTCACACACCAGGACATGTTACAGAAAGTAGACCCAGAGGCCAGACCAGGAGAGATGTTCAGAGAGAGGGGTTTGGCAGAGACTCCAGCCCACACAGCAAAATGACTCCACCTGACAGAGGTGAGCCTGCCGAGGAACCACAGTCTCACCTTGCACCAGCCATCATGGTCAAACCCTCATTCACTACATAAAACAATGTTATCAGGTGCTCACATTCATTGTCTTTAATAGGTGAAGGGAGTAAAACCACCAGTTAATATGACTGAGGGAGCTGACAGATTTAATAATAAAGAGACCAAACGTGGCCTGTCGCACCACAGCAAATAGCTGCTTCCCTGAGGATCATGGTTCAGCTCTGACAATACAATAAATCATGGACTCTTCTCATGGTGGGAAGCCCTTTCTCTCTTCATGTTTATGACCCAAAAGATTCAGCTCTACACACACAGTTAGGAGGGAATACCAACTTTTATTTACACTTGGTTTAAGCTTAGAACCACCTTAGATAGTATAGCAAAGCACAGATCCCGGGACCAAGGTTCAGATGTCAACACAAGCACATTAACTGACAAGAGGTAAACGGCACTGCGGTTTCATCAGCAAAGCCAGGAGAGCTTCCGGCAGCTGTGACTGCTCCCCCAGTCCCTACTCCACACCAAGGGTGCTGCAGATCCAGCTCTCTGTTAGGGTGGGACTCTGTGGGTGAGTGAACCTCTAACCCCAGCCCTTCACTAAAGGCAAGAAACAGGAATCTGACTGTCGTAAACACTGAGTGAGAAAAACTGCACATAGGTGTTCAATAAATATTATTTACAAACTTGCCCAACATAAGGACAGAAGCTTTTGAGTTCTGACAGTCAGTTCGAGGGACAGGGTCTGGTGGTAAGTTACACTGCTTTTGCCTGGACCCCTTCTCATTTAATTGATGAGTTAAATAACGATTTTAAAAACCATATATATGTAATCCTCATCCAAAAAACCACACAAAAGTATGCACATTTACACTGTGTGTGCATGTGCGCGTACATACACAGAAGCCACGAGGTAGTTTAAATTGCCATTAACTATCAATACTTTGCCCTAATTCTCTTGTTGCTAAGTGTACAACCGAGTGGCTGACCAAGAGCTGCTAGGTTAAATGAAAACCAGAACTCAAAAAATTATAGGAGAGAATCACATTTACAAGTGAACAATAAATACAATTGTATTTAATTTCTTGGTCTCTGAAAAGTAGGCTGTGACTGCTTTAAATGGTCCAGTTATATGAATTTTCTATAAAGCTAAAGGACACAGCCCTCTGCTACAATTTATACAACTTACTAAGGAGTCTCAGTAATTCTATTTTACAATTTTCCCCTCTATGCCTATGGAGGATTTAATACAAACTCTATGTAAAATAATATTTAAACATTATTTCTAAACTTCATTTGGAATTCCTTCAATAAAAAAATAATCACCATTCTCCACTTTCTCGGGAAAGTTCCAGATGAACCCCCGCAGAGAACTGCTGCCCTGAGTGTCTGGAAAAATCCAGATCCCACACCTCTAGGCCAAAAAAGTGCAATGAAGTCACACTTCACGGGAAAAAGCAACATCTATTGTTCTTAGAGTCTGACTCTCTTCCCCCACAGCAAAAGTCTCTTGATAGGTACGCCATGCTGTTTAAGTTGCCAGGGAAATGGGGCTCTCTCAAGCCAGAGCAGGAAAGTCCTCAGGGTCATCTGGGTTTGGAGCAACATCTTGTGTCTGAAAAACAAGTTTTAAAACCATCATTTCCCCCACTGCCACCTTGATGCCTGGTCTCTCCCAGATAAGCTCATACCCGCTCTGCAGAGAACCTGGCAGTGCCTGCCTCCAAGTCTTACTGAGTGACCCTTTTTATACCTGGCACTTTCATTATCCATTCATTATCCAATAAATATGACAGATTGCTTTCTGTGTGTTAGACACAAAAGATAATAGGATAATTAAAGACAGGTCCTATCCTCAGGAGCTTCCGGAGAAAGAGTGCTGTGGGATCTGTGCTCTTTGATCATTTCACTACCTGATCTTATTTCCAGGAGATGCTTCCAGAAAACCTTACCTGACCAATTATACTGACTCCCCCTGCGGTGGGCCCTGTTCCCTCTGTTACTGACGTCTCTACTTAGTAACTTCTCAGTGCACCTTAACCCTGACGGAGGGCTGCCCAGGGCAGTTCTAAGCTGGAAGCGCACAGGTGGGCAGCAGGAGAGGCGGAGCTCCCCTCCACAGTCAGTACTACTGGTGCTGAAACTGTGCTGTTGGAAAAGAGTATTTTCTATTCCTAGAACAGATTCTTTTCCCGACCTGGCCTCAAATGTACCCGGGAAAAACACTGTGGTATAACAAATTAGGCACTTCTCCCAGGGGCTGCTCCCTGGAGTGGGAATCATGCAGCAGAAGAAACATTTCCAAGACCAGCCATAGAAAAGGGGCTGTTCCGTGGAACATGAGGGCTACAGGGCCTGGAGTCCAACCCCACGCAATAGGCATTCAAATCTTTGTTCATGAAACATTTCTGAAGTGCCTGCTCTATGCTTACATTGTGCTAGACACTGGAAAAGCAATAATGAGCAAAGGCAGTTTCTGTGTCTACTCTAGAGACAGTTGTCACTGACCAACAAACACACTAGATACAATTAGAAATGGACACATGTGTCAAACAAAATTCTTTGCTCAAAGATTCTGACCTGTTATAGAAGGGAAATGTGCTCAGAGAAGCCTCTGAGGAGATGAAGTTAGAGGAGCTATTCTAGGTAAGCAGGCACGGTAAGAGAAGGGGCAACAGGTGTAGAAGCCCCATGGTGCGACATCTGAGTTAGCCTGGGGGGTGGGTCCATCTCAGGATGGATTCTGCGCTCCCTGTAAGCATCACGAGGATGCAGAGAGGACAAGCAGACCAAGGTAGTACGCAACTGTCAGGTGTTCTGGCTCAGTCCCACGCTTGGGCTTGGGCTCTCATCTGATGCAAGTGAGTAAATTTTCCTCATTTGTGAGTATGTATTCATGGCAGATTAGACCTCCTTGATGGCCCTCGGAGGCCAAGGGTTCAAAATACTCTATCCCTGACATTCATGATGCTGACATCATCCAAATATCCCAACCTCAGACCCATACGAGACAGGAGGAATCAATAAAACTGATGACCCTCCAGAACTGGAATGTGTAGGCCCAAGGCATTGCATGTTCTCGCTTCCTTCAGAAAAGCATCCTACACTCACTCACCACAACTTCTGCTCTGGGTCCATAGTTCTCTGCCCTTCTGATCCTTCCCCGGCCTCCTCGTGTGCCACCTCTGGCTCCACGTCCGGGACGAGGGAGGTTACCAAAATTAATCTCCAGCTGGGATGTGATGTCATTGGCCGCTTTCCGGAAAACGTGGGCATCATCCTCATAGTCATCCTTCACCATCTGAAACACAGTGACAGCAACACACACACACAGTCACCAACATGGACACTATCTGGGTTCCCTGTTGTAGAGCTGGGATGGCAGCAGGCTAGAAAAGGCAGCCTCCCTGAGCTGGCACTGCCACAGGCCACTGCGTGTGGCAGGGCGAAGTGACACCCCTGCTTCAGCCCCGGCGCGGGTGCTGGTGGCTTCCTTGCAGTTCTCAGTCCTATTCCAAGTATCTTTAATCTGTTTCAAGTGAAACCAAATTTCTGTGGTACTAAAGGTTAAGTGGTAAGATTTGACATGACTAACAGCACTCAATATAAATGTTTTAAATCGAAGTATATTTTGGTAAGATTAAAAGTTTTATTTCTGCCTTTTATTTGTTTACAAATACTACTAAGATAAATGAGAATATCACCTTCCTGGAATAGAACTTGATTGAGAAACTCTTTTTAATGTGGATGCTGATTCTACAAATACCTTATGTTAAAAACTGTATGAAGTACAATAATTGTGTTTCTGTCACAGTTTCATGCTAAAAAGAAAGTGGACACCTTAAGTAGATGGACTCTTACAACTCACAAGAGAAGAACAAGTCAGAAGTACTGAATTATGATAAACAAAAAAAAGGCAAACTGTAAACTACTACCTTCTTTAGAAAATAACTGGAAGGTCTAGCTTTAGCCCCCGCCCTTTTTTGCTTACTACAGAACGCTGAGTAACAGTCAAAGGTAAAAGCACTTGAAGGGCTCAGTTCATTTCACAAACTACCATTAGGTCAGAATGGTACAGACCACAGAGCTCCCCACAAACAAGAGGTATTTTTCTAGAGCTTTGTCTCTTATCTTAGAGTGCCTAGAAGACTGTAAACCAGTGACCCCTAGGATTTTGCTTCTGTTGCTTTAAGAACAATTCCTGGCTAAAATCTTCAGTGCCATAAGATTCAAAAGGACTAAGGCTATGCCTTTTATTGAGACCAAGTGGGATGACTCAGCTAACCCAGTTGCTTCAAATATTCCAGAAGAACACTCTCTGGAGCCAGGGAGGATGAATTTGGTGTGGATTAAGGAAGAGCAGCTTCTATTTTTACCTACCATGTCAGCTGCACATTGCACATCCTGACAGCACATTTGTTTTAGGCAAAGCTTTATTTACAATGCCCCAGAACAAAAAGAACAAAGAAAGTGGACAGGAAAAGAATCAATCCAGCTGGCTGATGGCCTTGTAAAAACACTTCACAGAGGTTTCCACCATAAGATGGCTCTGGCTTCCCGAATTGACAAAAAGCCATTTCTTGTAGTAAGGCCTCGAAGAGCTTGAAGTGACCAAAACAGGAGGGGGAGGGGATCCTAATAAAGTATTCATTCAAACCCAACAAACCAAAGGGTAAATGGGCTCACAGACAAATTTATGTAACATAAAATCCCTGGGTTTCAAGTGGGAAGTCAATAAATACTTAGCAAAGAAAGAGTTTACTCACCACTACCATTAACACATGGGCTGGCCATTATCTAGAAAACAGTGGTGTTTGCATGACCAAATTTTAAAGTCAGAATGCTTCAGCAAACCCTTAAATTCAGTCACTTAAGCAGAATGTGATTAAATGATTTGCTGACCAGGAAGCCTCTCTGGTGGCTTAGGGGTTAAGTCTCAGCACTATTAGTGCTACGGCCTGAGTTTGATCCCCAGCCAGGGAGGTGACCCACATGGCACAGCAGACCTCTCCTTTCCCGCCTGCTGCTCCCCTTGGCAGTTTATTTCAGTAAATTCCTCTGTTCTGTTCCTCACTCAGTCTCTGGTGAATCCTTTCCCCTCTCCCCTGCACCCCTCACCCCCACCCCCCAGCTCTGGCCTACACTCCAGTTCTTCTATGCATAAGTAAATAAATCTTTTTAAAATAGGATTTGTTGACCATCCTCATTCAATATATGCAGTCAGATACTTTCAAAGCTAAGGCCTCCACTAGAGAACTGAACATACAAAGTGAAAAATGGTGTCCTCGCTGGAGAAAGGCTCTGAGCTGTCCCGCAGCATAACTGTGTTTTGAGCGATGCCTGTAACACTGTCAGGCTCTTTATGGCCCTCTCCAGAGAGGCAGGTAGTGATGCAGAGGGAACGAAGCTGCTGGAGTACCAGGAGCAAGACTTCACAGAGCACAAAACCCAAATTAGTTTAATATTATCAACTGTTCCCAACGAACTGCTCTTATTGCAAATAAGAGCTGAATGTAATCCAGTCATGGAAATACAGCATAGTTATCCTTTGAAATGGCTTTGTTCAGGAAACACTGTACCTCCCTTACAAGGCAAAAAAATGAAGAACCTCGCACAGCATAGTTGTAGAGCAGAAAATGCACTGTCACTTA